TCAGAAACAAGTTCCTTTCTCGCAAGATAGTTTAATCCAGAGAAATGAAAATGCCCAAATCGCATATGCCATAACCAATTATCATCACAAACTTCAGAATTAAAGCAAGCAAGGAGAGTATGCTTAATTTTCAAAGGAAATAGTCGATTTTGGGACATATTTACCTTTGCAATCAAAACTCCTTTAGCATCTGCAATGGTACAACACCCCTGAGCAATATGTATCTTATATCCTTTTTCTGACAACTGACCCATACTCAACAAATTTTGGTGTAGTTCAGGAACATAGAACACATCGGATATAAAATTGTGAGTACCATCCTTCAACTGAATAGAGATTTTACCTTTTCCCAAAATTGGCACCTTTGACTTATTGCCAAATGTCACTTTAGACCGGACTGATTCATCCAGTTCAGAAAACAATACTTTCTTCCCACACATATGGTTACTACACCCAGTATCCAAGAACCATATGTTCTTATCTGCAGAAAAACTATCGCTGGCTAAAAGTAAAGTTTCAGAACTCTCACCAGACTTTTCAGTAGTGTTTTCAGCAATATTTGCTTGATTTCCACGATTGTTGTCCTCATTATACCAACAATCTGCAATCTCGTGTCCATACTTGCCACAATTGTAGCAATGAAATGGAAATTTACCTTGTTTGGTATTACCTCCACCTCTTCCTTGGTTGGAGTTACCACGTCCTCCTCCTTGGTTGAAGTTACCACGACCTCTTCCACTAGAACCTCCTCTTCCTCTTCCACGACCTCTACCAGATCCTCCACCTCTTTGATTAGTGCCAGTCACATTAAGGGTGACTTGACTCTTCAAAGCTTCTTCTGCTAGTGGTTCCGACTTTGACGCAATTCTGTCAATATGACTTTCTACCATACCTTTCAGCTCTGCAATTGATAAGAGCTCGGTTTTGTGTGACTCTGTTATTGAAGCCACCACATGGTCATACTTCATCGGCATAGTTCGAAGAACTTTTTCAACCACTGCACCATCTTCAATCGTATCTCCATATAGCCTCATCTTATTCACCATATCAATAAGACGAGTGAAATACGCATCTACTGTTTCTGTAGAGGTCATCTCACAATTATCGTACAACCTTCTCAACGACTGCAACTTAGACTTCTGTGCCCGATCGACTCCTTTGTGTGACACCTTTAAGATGTCCCAAGCTTGTTTTGCTGTTTGAGCACGAGCTAATTGCCCAAAAACGGAATAATGAACACCTTGGTGAATCTGACCCAAGGCCAATTTATCTCGTCATATAGCAGCTGCATCAGCTCCTTCGGGTAGACCGGGATCAACAAAGCTCCAAAGATTTTGAGCTTGCAAATGTGTTGACATCATAATTTGCCAATAATTGTAATTGAGTTTCCCGTCCAATTTGGGACCCGACCATACAATATTGAAATTTGTTGCCATATTTCACTACGGGAAATATTTCGGGGTTGAAAGGTTGACTGGCTCTGAGACCAAATGTAAGATATATTAAATATAATATATATATTATATATAATATATCTATGTATTTATATATAATAATATATAAATAGGAAGAGAGAGAGAGAAAGATGAGAATGAATAATGTTTATTCACTGAGATGATTTAACAAATGAAAATACACCACATATTTATACTAAGAGAAAGCTAATAAATAGGAAGCTAACGCTCCATGTACTACTCCTATAATCTAGGCATGTTCCACATTAACATACATGACTCACCCATGTTTGTTTTTATTAAATTCTTTGACTTGGTTTAATTACTAATAATAATAATATTATTATTATTATTATTATTATTATTATTATTATTATTATTATTATAACATAGATAATATTTGATTCTTGGTTAATTTCCTACCATGAATACAATTCCTACAAATTTGGTAAAGATTACACATCAATTTAAATCCAAATTAAATTCCCATGCCAATTACTATATAATCCCTATCAATTAATTCTATATTAATAAAATAGGAAACAATCTTAAATCATAGCCATTCATATTTTAGAGATGGATGCTTAGGATGCAATCTCATGATCTCATGTAGAAGGGTGGTATCATAAGATCCAACCCATATACATGTGTGTGTGTGTGAGAATACCCAAAATGGTCTTTTCACTAAATTGAAATATTAAAACTGGTCTTTGACTTCTAATTGGTTCAAATTATGTCTTTTGATTATGATTTAGTCCTATTCAATTTTCTTGTCTACAAAAGACGAAATTCTCTCGCTCCTAGAACACCACACTCCAACCCAACAAGATAGTGGAAGGATAAATCACGGTGACTCAACAAGTAGCAGCTCAATTAGGTGAGAGGACAAGTGTTTAGAGCCCACCATATTGAGTGTAACTTCCACACTGCAGCTGTCAGGACTCAATCATGTGTCATTGTCAACAATTTATCACTTAAAAACCAATTAAGTTGTTCATGCCAGCGCTATTCAATTTCCTAATCAAATATAATGATAATATTGAAAATCCAAACTTCCCTCATGGTGCATAGAGGAATCTGGCAAAGGCAATACGAGGCAAATTATATCATGCACCGCGCGTCCTTTTTTTAAATGAAAAGAAACGGTGTTTGTTTTCCGTCATTTCGCACCCTTTTGCAAAAAGTAACCCTGTTATTCAGTGTCATTTTGTATACACTGCAGTTTCAGTTCAACACAACTACAGTTTCATTTCGATATAACTATAGTTTCATTCGATATTTATAGACTCAAATATGTGAAAATGTTATTTAATTTTATTTTATATACACTATAGTTTTATTAAAACACAACTACATGATCATTTTGATATAATTACAGCTTCATTGTACAATATACTCTCAAATATGTGAAATATTATTCAGTTTCATTTTATATACACTGCAGTTTCATTTCACTATAACTACAGTATCATTTTGATGTAACTGCAGTGTCGATTTAGATATACTGCAGTGTCAGTTGGTGTTTAATACACCAAACAAGCGGACTCCGTTAAAGAAACGGCGCCGTTTTTTACCGCAGTGCACATGCACCGCGGTCTATAATATAACGACTCGCAATATGAGAAGTGGGTCGTGTGTATTCTTGATCCTCAAAAGGAGCGAGGTCAAAGTTTGCTAGGAGCGTTCAACATGGCAAGAGAAGTTTGAATGATTTTTGTTTAAGATGTAGGATTTTTGCAATTCTGGTTTTAAAAAATTAGAGTTTATGCACTTCTAACAACAACCAATGAAGAAAATGACAAGGAAAGTTTGAATATCCAACATTATCCCTATATTTTACCAAAAAAAATTAATTAAATGACTAAATCAAGTAACAAATGTATTGTTAATGACTTAATTAAGCTCAATTAGGAATTGATGACCAATTTTGATATTTCAAAATAGTAGAAGGATCACTTTGGTATTAGTTCTAATAATGATGATAATATAAATAAATAAATAAATAATATATTTAATCAAATAACATAATAATACAATAAATTTAGCATGAGAATCTTGATGATTAATATGTATATGGACATGATGTGTTACTCTAGTTTGATTCTTTTCCCGGAGATGAAGGGACAAAACATTAATATCACCACATGTATATTGTAATACAGACTCCCAACTCGTGATGGAATTTGTCCAGGGGGAAACACTATTCTTCCACACTATAGGGGGCTCTTATAATTTTTCAGTAATGGCACATGTAATGTTCTAACCAAAAAAAAAAAAAAAAAAAAAAAGAAAGTAGAAGAATTTATGCCAAGAATTTTTCTTTCCCTTTTATTTTTGGTCAGTAGAGGTATTCCCTTCAGATCATTAAGGAACATATTGAATGAATGGCTAATGTTATTTGTTAAGAGAAATAAAGAATTGTTACACTTATTATAGACCACGTAATTTAATACAAATAACATTTTCCATATTGGATATGATAACGACATAAACGGTACATAATAAAATTTTCTTGATTATTCTTGTGCCGATACGAGGAATCATGTTAATGTTCAAATGTGTATCACATCAATTGAAAGTTTTAACTGTTAGAAAATATGTTGACGGCGATGAAAAGACATGTATTGTTTTATATTTATCCTTAATATATTCAAAATAAGCCACATTGAAACACATACTTTCTTTTTCTATGCAATAGCATGAACAATCACAATTGCTGGTGTTTGTTGGTTGGATATGTTTAGCAATTATTTAGATAAGATTAAGATGGGGGGTATGAAAAGCCAACAAGAACCAAGCATGAAATCAGATTCTACTTTAGTGAGACCATTGCCCTTATCCACAAGCTTTTGATGTTAGTGTGTAGGAGTTTTCATCCTGAAGAAAATGTGTGTGCATCTTTTCTAAAAGTAGATAAAGTTGGGGGGGGGGGGGGGGGGGGGGGGGGGATATAAAGTCAGAGAATTCACTTATATTCTGTCTTCCATCATTGAAACAAGGGCATCTATATGGAAAAGCTATTTAACTCTATTAACCAGAATACTTATCATGGGGAATTCACCTATGTTAGAGTCAGGGGGTTGGTTGAGAGAATTACTCTCAACCCTCCAATTTAACTTTTGAACTTAATGGTGTAGGTGCCTCTATAGCTTGTATATATTGAGTTTCTCCTGTACAGTATAGTGAACACAGTAATATACTACACAGTTTACACATACTCTAGTGCTTGTCTTACATGGTATCAGAGCTCCGGCGACGGTGAGGGAGTGGGTGGTGATTGGAGGAGGACGGCGACCCTTCGCCGACGTTTCGCGACACCACCGGAGCCGCCACGCTCCACCGCCACAGTTCGTCAACTCACGCGCCGGCGCGTGAGAGTGATTCCGGCGACCGTTTGCGATGGCGAACATACCAGACAACTCGCCGTGAGGAGGACTGTCGTTTTGGACAGGTTGCGGAGGATTTTGGTGAAGTTTGTTTTTGGTTGAAGTATTCTTCCAGTTGAGTCTGCGTAGGTGTTTTGTGTGGTGCGTAGGTTGTTTTTGTTATTTCTTTTCTGTTATGGCGGAATCAAGGAATATTACTTGTAATGTTATATCTACCCCATCCAAATTAGTTGATGTAATACTGGCACCGGATGGGTCTAATTTTGGAGAGTGGAGGTTTCTTATTGAAATTAATTTAGGGGATATGGGTAAAGATAAACATTTGACTAGGGCATGTCCAACAGAGCAAACTGAAGCTCAAGAGTGGAACAGGGATGATAAAGCTTTATTGGTAGAGGTAGAGGTAGTTCGTCCGCTTCAGTATCGGGTAGAGGTAGTACCAGTGTTACCCCATCATTACCTCTCTCTCGTGTATTATACCTTCCGAAATTTCCGTTCAATTTATTGTCGATAAGTCAAATCACTCGAAGTCTAAATTGTTGTGTCGTGTTCTTTCCTGGTTATTGCTTGTTTCAGGATCTTTTGACAAAGGCGATTATTGGTAGAGGAAAGGAAGCTGGTGGGCTATATGTGCTGGAACAGTTCTCTCCTAGTCCTGAAGGTGCGCCGGTTAGTCTGTTGAGTAGTACGTCTCCTTTCCAATTACATTGTCGGTATGGTCACCCGCCTTTGTCTATTTTAAAGAAGTTGTATTTGAACCTAGAGTCTTTATCTGTTTTGCAATGTGAATCTTGCGAGTTTGCGAAGCATTGGCGGGTTCCATATCCACCTAGAGTCAATAAAAGGGTAGATTCTTTATTTCAGTTGGTTCATTCAGATGTGTGGGGACCATGTCGGGTTCCGTCTAAATCCGAGTTCAAATACTTTGTAACCTTTGTAGACGATTTCTCGAGACACACTTGGTTATATCTCATGAAATCCAGGGATGAATTGTTTGAAGTTTTTTGTAAGTTTTGTTCTATGGTTAAGACACAATTCAATAACATGGTTCGAGTTTTGCGTAGTGATAATGGTACTGAATATTTTTCTCGTACCTTTTCCAATTATATGAGTCAAAGTGGAATGATACACCAGTCTTCTTGTGTTGGCACTCCTCAACAGAATGGTGTGGCAGAACGTAAAACTCGCCATCTGTTGGAAGTTGCACGAGCCTTGTTGTTTCAAATGAAAGTTCCCAAAGTATTCTGGCCGGATGCTGTCCATACAGCTTCGTTCTTGATAAATCGGTTACCCTCGACAGTACTCCAAGGTCAGGTTCCGTGTCACCTGGTTTATCCATCCACTCCGTTATTTTCCCTTCCACCCAGGGTGTTTGGATGCACTTGTTTTGTACAGGATGTCCGTCCTCACAGGGGGGAAGCTTGATCCTAAGTCTCTGAAGTGCATATTCTTGGGGGTACTCTAGCACTCAGAAAGGGTATCTGTGTTATTATCCTGACTTACAAAGGTACTTAGTATCCGCTGATGTGTCGTTCTTTGAGGATATTGTGTTTAAAGAAGCTTTCACCTCGTCTGATTGCAGTTCAGTGCAAGACGATTTCCTTACATATACTGTTACCATTCCTTCTCTGGGTTGGGGTGAAACTAGGCCACCTGTCACACAAGTTTATCACCGGCGGTCAAGAGAAGTTCAAGCGTTGTTTGGCCCAGCAGCTAATCCTTCCTCGCCAAAGTCGTCGTCAACAGATCCCGATCTTCCGATTGCTGTTCGTAAAGGTACGCGTCGTTGTGCACATCACATTTCTTCAGTTGTGTCATATGCTCGTTTATCTTCCTCTTCACGTGCCTTTATATCTCAGTTAGAGTCAGTTACAGTGCCAACGTCTTTGAAACAAGCTATGTGTCATGATGGTTAGAGGCAGGCTATGGGGGAAGAGATGACTGCTCTTGAAGAGAACCAAACGTGGGATTTGGTGGATCTTCCATTCGGTAAGGTAGCTATTGGGTGTAAATGGGTTTATGTGGTGAAAATGAACCCTGATGGCTCTGTTGCCAGACTCAAAGCGCGCTTGGTGGCTAAGGGGTATGCACAGACGTATGGTATAGATTATACCGAGACTTTCTCCCCGGTGGCTAAATTGGCTGCGGTACGCATTTTTTGTATCTTTAGCCGCTACTAATCACTGGCCTTTATATCAATTAGATTAAATGTCAAAAATGTGTTCTTGCATGGTGATTTACTTGAAGAAGTGTATATGGAGCAACCACCAGGGTTTGTCGCTCAGGGGGAATTTGGGAAAGTGTGCAAGTTAAAGAAGTCTTTGTACGGTCTGAGACAGTCCCCGCGTGCTTGGTTCGGGAGGTTTAGCAGTGCAGTTATGAAGTTTGGAATGCAGAGGAGTGCTTATGATCATACTGTCTTTTATAAACATACTAACCATGGGTGTGTTTTGTTGATAGTGTACGTTGATAACATTGTAATCACAGGTAGTGATGCAGACGGAATTGGTATTCTTAAATCCTTCCTTGGAGTTGAGTTTCATACTAAAGATTTGGGAATACTGAAATAGTTTTTGGGTATTGAGGTTGCTCGGTCAAGGAAGGGCATATTTCTTTCACAGAGGAAATATGTGATGGACCTTCTTGGGGATACTGGATTGCTTGGGTCAAAACCGTGCGAGACGCCGATGGAACAAGGGATCAAACTTGTACCAAATGCAGGGGAAGCATTTGAGGATCCAGAAAGGTATAGGAGGCTGGTGGGGAAACTAAACTACATCACAATTACTCGTCCAAATATTGCGTTTCCGGTGAGTGTAGTGAGTCAGTTCATGAGTTCGCCTACACGAGTTCATTGGGAAGCAGCTGTTCGCATTGTGAAATATCTGAAGAGTGCACCTGGGAAGGGGGTCCTTTATGCTTATTATGGACATACAGGTGTTGAAGCTTTTTCCGATGCAGATTGGGCTGGCTCGCCTAGCGACAGGAAGTCAATGACAGGGTATTGTGTGTTTTTGGGAGGCAATTTGGTTTCGTGGAAGAGTAAGAAGCAAAGTATTGTGGCACGGTCAAGTGCAGAGTCCGAGTATAGAGCTATGGCTCATGTGACCAGTGAGATAGTTTGGGTGCATAACATTCTAAAAGAGATGGGTGTAGAGGTAAAACTTCCTGTAAAGTTGTGGTGTGACAATCGTGCGGCCATACACATTACAAACAATCCAGTTTTCCATGAACGGACGAAACACATCGAGATAGATTGTCACTTTGTACGAGAGAAAGTGCAACGAGGATTGATATCTGCTGAGCATGTTCGTAGTGGTGATCAACTGGCGGACATATTTACAAAAGGACTAAGTGGGAGTCGGATGTCATATATATGTAACAAGTTGGGCATGTTTGATGTTTATGCTCCAGCTTGAGGGAGAGTGTTAGAGTCAGGGGGTTGATTGAGAGGATTACTCTCAACCCTCCAATTTAATTTTTGAACTTAGTGGTGTAGGTGCCTCTATAGCTTGTATATATTGAGTTTCTCCTGTACAGTATAGTGAACACAGTAATATACTACACAGTTTACACATACTCTAGTGCTTGTCTTACAACCTACAAAACTGTTTTTTCACCTTCACCACATTTAGCATATTCTGTGTATATGGTAAAAAGATATGAAAATATGAATATCATATGGTAAAAAGGACTGTCAAAAGTAAAGAATTCTTCTTCATTGTTTCAGTATATAAAATTTGTCATAAGAGATAAATTCAGATGACCAAAACTTACAAAATAAAACCAAAAAAGTTCATGGGCCAGGCCATGAAAAATACAAAACAAGATCAAATGGCAGCTTCACATTCATCAAGTTGGGAGAAGGTTTTCACTTACAGAGCTTTAGCCTTTTGAAGAATGATGATACGAGTGATTTTGGATAAGGTTTTATCGCAAGACAGGTAGGGATATTCTCTGGTTGTTCAATCCACAATTTATGAGCAATGCCGCCTTCTTTTAGTTTTCCAGACAAGTTTAATATCTGGGCTTCACCTTTAACTTCCAGTGTTACCTTGTGCATAGAGTCAAGATTGGCAGGGGCACAATACTGGAGGGTGACAGGGTCCTCCTTATTGGACCAAATTGCAGCAACCGCAGCATGGCAGCCCTGCGTAACAATGCTTCCCAGTGGCCATGTGTCTATCAGGTCTCTTCTTAACACCAAGTACTGAACCACCACCTCCTCAACCGACGAGCCTGTGGCATTGCTGTTAGTAGCTGAGGCAGTGGAGGTTAAATCCTCTGCTGCAGCTTTGGACGGTTCCATTTCCATTTGAGCTGTTATAGAGTCCTTCTGAAGGTTGATTCCAGTCCTCTTAAAGCCTTTCCAAACTTCAGAATTTGAGTTCTTTACTCCTCTAGATTGGAAACTAAAAGAATACCACATTAAAAACATTTATGTTCATGTCTTTAAACTGGCAATGTGTGAAGTAATCTTACCAATTACTCTAATATATTGGTCATACTTATAAACTACATAATCTCCATGCTAACTTATAATGTTTTACCAACAACTAGTTATGTTTTATCTTCATCAGTACCTTCTATAGCACTTCCCTGTTACTACTAAATGTACAATATGCCTATACAATGAAACTAATGAACGGACAATACTTAATCCAGAGATCATCTTGATTTTAGTTCAACAACATCATGATGATTAATCCACAGTTTGAGCATATGAAGAAATATGTAAATGATTTCTGGCATCCGAACATCATATATGTTTGTCTAAAAATCCAAAACTTGGATTAGGCAACTACTCTAACTAGACAACGAAAGGGGCATACCGGTCCCGTTAATGGTGATTGAATCAATGTGGCAAGCAGGAAGAAACAAGGAAAATGAGTATACAATGCAAGACAAAGACTAAGCAGCAAAAGGAATTCAAGACACTCCAAAACAGCATTAGATATGTTAAAAGGATAAGCAGTGTCAATCCAGAAGGAAACAAATGGATTATTGTCTTTGAGTGAAGATTTCATCAACCCATCATTTATTTGTGCTTTGGTTAACTTTACTCTTGTTTCAAGCTCTGTAATATTAGGGTTTGCAAGGTATTAATATCAATTCCAAGGCCAAATAATTTAAGGACCAACATATATAGTTTTCACATTTGCATATGCAGGATGAACTAGGTTTTGGTTGTTCTCCTGCATACATTTTTTGTCTAGGATGAAAGTAGTTGAATAGAATTTCATCCGACGAACATTATCAAACGTTTGATTCAGTTCACACTGCTCCGGAATTGAAAATAATTTTATTCGAGTTCATCATATCCCCCCATCTTTTCACTCCCTATATGGATTTTCTATTTATTTAGGACTTAAGAGAAGCAAAAGCTCGACAGAACATAACAGAACAAAGTTCGGATCATCGATTTACAACTTTCTAGTCGGAGAGAGGGAGAGAAGAAAGGAAGAAAGAGAATGGCGCCGGCGAGAGAGAAATGTTGTAGAGTTGTAGACGGTATACGTGTGGAACTCGAGGTATGAATACAGAGAAAAGAGAGGCTTACCAGTTGATGGTTGTCAGGGATTGCTGCCCACATCCGGTCGCCGGCGATTGTCCGATAGCTTCGCCGGTGAAAAGAGAAGTCCGGGAGGAAGGAATGGAGCGGGAGAAGAGAAGTAGCTGACGGGGATAGTGTAACGAAGAGTGGACCAAGGCCCGTGACATTTTCTTTTGAGATGAAAGCTATAGCCCAAAACTACATTTTTCAAGTTTTAATCACTGCACAGCCCATCGTTATGCTATGAGCCTAGGATAGTTATGCTGTGCATCCGTTGCACCATGCATGGTGCATACGGATGCAAAAACGACGTCGTTTTATTAAAAACGCGCGTCTCTCCTTAAAAGAAAAATTCAGGTTCGATTCCCAGCAAAAAAAAATTTAGTTCATTGATTCTAGAATTATAGTTCATCGATTCTGAAATTGTAGTTCATCGATTCTGAAATTTTAGTTCATAGATTCTGGAATTTTAGTTCATTCATTCTGGAATTTTTAGTTCATAGATTAGATTCTGGAATTTTAGTTCATAGATTCTGAAATTATAGTCCATCGATTCTGGAATTTTAGTTCATATGTTGTTGCTAGGAATCGAACCTGAATTTCTTTTTTTTAAGGGGAGACGCGCGTTTTTAATAAAACGACGTCGTTTTTACATCTGTATGCACCATGCATGTACAGCATAATTTGCCATGAGTGGTGAGCCTATGAGCAAATTATTCAACCGTTATACCCTGCACCACGGCGCGCGTAGCACTGTGCGCCCCGCGCCTCCCAAAACAACGTCGTTTTGGTAAGTTATGTAGGGAGTTGACGCGATTATGTGTATTTGTTTATACAATTATGTGTATTTATTTATACAATCATGTACATCTTTTTTATACAATTATGTACATCCGGAACATGAAATTTATGTGTATTATGTTAAGAGTTGATGTTTATTATGTTAAAAGTTTATGTATATTATGTATTATGTTAGATTATGGCCCTGTTTGGTAAAATGGCTGTTAGCGGATAGCTGTTTGCTGTTAGCTGATTGTGTTAATTAAAGTGTATAAATAGTTGATAACATTAGATAATTGTAGAAAAGTGTTTGGTAAATTAGCTGTTAGCTGATAGCTGTTTGGTATAATTTCTTTTCTCAAAAAGTTACTTGGAGTAGCTTTTTGAATTTTAGCCTTTTGGAGTTGCAAAAAGCTAATTAACCAAACACTTCTATTGATATTTTAACTAAATCAAACAATTAATAGTGGTCAAATAAGCCAAAATTGGCATATAGGCCAATTTTTTACCAAACACGGTCTATATGTATTATCTTTAAAAAAAAAAAGTATGTGCATTTTGTTATACAATTATGTACATTCATGTATACAATTATGTGTATTCTAGTATAAAATTATATACATTTTTTAACATGAGATTTTTTTTTTTTTTTTACATAAAATTAACCGCAAATACAAGGTAAGCGAACCCCGACCATGCAGGAAGAAGTGGTAGAGCGGTTGTAGAAGAAAATAGAGGAGCTAGAGAAGAAAATGGGGGAGAGTGAGCAGTCGCCGGAACCCGAGGTAAGGATGGCCGGACCATTTACCCCGAGGATAATGGGCGTACCCCTTCCGAAGGATTTCAGGCTTCGGCTCTCAAAGCTTACGCCAGGATCTCAAACTCACGTGCACACATTACAAGGTACAAGGCAGCTATGGTGATGATTGCAGCGGATGACGTCATCATGTGCAGGGCATTCTTGTCTGCCTTGGATGGAACGGCCCAGAATTGGTTCAATACAATCCCAGATGGATCAATCCAAAATTTTGCAGAGCTATCCAAAAGTTTCTTGACTTACTTCAACGGCAGTATACCACGCAAAAAGCCTTTCTCTCACCTCTGTGTAATAAAGCAAGAAAGAGGAGAGAGCCTAATAGATTTTATGAACAAATGGAAGAAGGAAGTTAACAATGTGTAAGACTTCGACTCAAAAGTGGCAATCCCAATGTTTATTCAAGCGCTTAGGTATGGCGACTTTCATAGGCAACTAAACACCCACCATCCTCGCTCCTATGATGATCTCATGAGGACAGCTAATCGCTACGTAGAAGCAAAGGAAGCTGATAAAAAGAAAAGAGAAGAGGATGAAGGCAAAGCAAGATGAAAGTCCGAGAAAATGGGTCCAACCAACTAGGTGTTAGACTTAGCTCCATCAAAGAAGGGAAATAGAGATCAATCCTCAGGGGGGCCATGTTTGATCCCCTGAAGTCATTTAACCCCACTGACCCATCCAGTTAGCGTAATTCTGGGCCAGGTCGAGGAGATGGGGATGGTGCAGTTCCCAGAGGAGTGCATGAAAGTTTCCCCTAAAGTAGACCAGATCAAATATTGTCGGTTCCACCGGCAGGTTGGCCACAACACTAACGAGTGTCACGTTCTCAAGAGACAAATAGAAGAACTCATTCAGAGGGGATACTTTACTCATTCTGTGGAGCATCCGAGACAACAACAATATCACCTCCAACAAGGCCAACTTGAAAATGTGTGGCGAAAGGGAGAGGGCTATGAACCATCCGCTTCTTACATGAAAAGGAGGGGGTATGATGAGATCATGGAAAAATGAGACAATGAGTTAGAGGAAGAACCCGCATAGTGCAAAAAACATGTCATTCGCTAAAACATATAAGACCTAAGAATATTGATGTAACTACTAGTCATGGTCCGACCTGATCAAATTTGTTGAATAAAAAAAAATCTACTCATGTGCAGAGAGCCCTTTGTGCTTGCAGAGTGAGAGGCCGAGGCCGTGTCCTCGTACTCATTTGAATGAGGCTCGTCTTCATTCCCAATACTCATTTGAATGAGGCTCGTATTCGTTCCAAAAAAAAACAAAAAAAACAATAATAAAATAAAACTGATACACTCAATTCCCTGAGGGATGGCATGTAAGGAATCCGATCCTTCTAGCTATCCGACGGAAGGGTCTTTTCTTGGTCAAGCTCAAGGCTTGGGTACGAAAATGATATTCCCTAAGGGCTGGCACGGGATCCAATCACGCTAGCTACCCGACGGAAGGGTGTTTTCTTGGTCAAGCTCAAGACTTGATTACGAAAACGCTATCACCTAAGAACCGGTATGAAGTCTGACCTCGCTCACTAACCTAGGGGAGAGCCGACCTTTGACCGAGCCCACGGCAGGCCAAAGTGAGCAATGAACACACACACACACACACACACACACACACACACACACACACACACACACACACACACACACACACACACAAGTCACAAGAGGCTCGCCTCGGCCTTTGCCATGGTCGAGGGCTCCTTAGCCACCAACTGAGATGGTCCTCGGCTATGGCGGCCTCTACCATGGCCGAGGCAATGGTAGTTGTCCCAGTATGTATACATAAAAATAGATTATATATATATATATATATATATATATATATATATATATATATATATATATATATATATATATATATATATATATATATATATATATATAGGGAAGGGTTCAGGTGCGGGTATAGCTTCCCCTGCGGTTGTGCGGTTAGATCTGAGTTGTTGATCAAATTTAGATCAACGGCTCAAATCAATAAAAATTATAAAAAAAAAAAACGCGTGTCGGGAAGAAGATAGCGCCTACACAGCGTCTACACAAATGATAGCGTCTACACAAATGAGTAGCGTCTACACAAATGATAGCGTCTGCACAACCTCACGCACATTAAGTACAAACCCCACACACATTAAGCACAGCCTCACACACATTAAGCACAAACCCCACGCACTTTAAATATTAACTCACAGATTTTAAGTTTCAACAACTAATGACAGTAAGCACAACCTCACGCACATTAAGTACAAACCCCACACACATTAAGCACAACCTCACGTACATTAAGCACAAACCCCACGCACTTTAATATATTAACTCACAGATTTTAAGTTTCAAAAACTATTGACATTAAGCACAACCTCACGCACATTAAGTACAAACCCCACACACATTAAGCACAACCTCACGCACATTAAGCACAAACCCCACGCACATTAGTCACAGATCCGCTCACCTTAATTTTGACCTACATGCAAAAATTACAAAATTGCCACCGCGTTTTTTTTTTTTTTTTTATTTTGACAATTCTGGACGTTGATTTAAGCGAGATGAATGGTCCAGATTAAACCGCACAACCGCACCTGGGCACTCTAACCGCACCAGAACCTCTATATATATATATATATATATATATATATATATATATATATATATACACACACACACACACACACTAGTATTTGCACCCGTGCGATGCATGGCCATGATATTTTGGTGCAATATATAAAAGATTGTTATATTGAAGATATAGGACTAATAAGGTTTTAGATGTAATAAATCGCCAAAATATAATTTATTTGCGTTCCATAAACAAAACAATTACACATTATTAAAGATTTCTTTGTAAACTACATTTTGATCAGTATTGTTTAAAAGACCTCTAGATTCCCCACAAATTAAGACTTTAAGACCATCAAGATTACTCACCCTGCTAGAAACTGCTATATATAATTGGTCATGGTTTAAAACTGATTTTTTCAATAACAAACCAACATGTAAAAGTGTTTGACTTTGACTTTTGTTAATTGTCATTGCATATGATAACATAAGTGGAAACTGCTTTCTTTGAATTATAAGCTGTAAAGTTGAATTGAGTCCATCATATTGTTTGTGCAGCTAGGAAATGCAAAATTTAACAAAAAAGAGTATATATTAAATTTATTAACATAAATATAGAACAAATAAATTCAACTCTAAGTATAGTTTTTAGATTGTGCTTACCATTAATCAACGTGCTAATTGGTGTTGGAAGATTTCCACCAACTTGTCGAATATGAATTTTAGAACTGATAGCTGATAATATGTTGGAATTGTCTACAAATAACACAGGAAAAAAAAATAAAAAAATAAATAAATGGCTCTTATCAACTCTTCAATAATAATTGTATTTCATAATAATTCATTTTCAAATTTAGTCTAAAAAAATTTAAAATAATGTTTGGAATGTATACGTATTTGGACTACATTGTTTTTATAGCGTATGAAAATATATGATAGAAAAATACAATTATATAATTATTTTACAATAGAGTGATTTTTTTCAACGTTAACCAAATCTCGTATCATGGA